GGGATCAACTAGGGTTCTCTAAAGTCTGTGTTGAGCTATCAGCCAATTTTGAGTTCCCGCGGCGCATCCGGTTGTACCCTGATAATGATCCGGATTTTGAAGTGGGGGTTGGTTATTCGCACCTCCCTAAAGTTTGCTCTTCCTATTGTATGTTTGGGCATAGTTGTCAGCAAGAACCAAAAAAATAGCGGAAAGTCAAAGAGGATGGGGTTGTGATAAGCTAGGCATAAGAGTGCACTGGTGAGGCGGCTCAGGTTGTTGGGGATGAATCTGATGCAGCTGTGGATCAGGTAATTGTGGATGTGGAAGAGGATGAGGGTGCTGTTGATGACCCTCAGGGAAGTGAGGAAGAGGTTCAGGTGGATGAGGGTGTTGTTGATGACCCTCAGGGAAGTGTGGTTGAGGGTGTTGTTGCTGACCATAAGGGAAATGAGGATGAGATTCCCACACTTTCAGTTGAAGCTGTTGGTCAAGATCCTTCCTCAATTGGGAGCCCACCACTGAGTTTTGCTCAAATTGTAAGGGGATCACCATCTCTGGGTGGAAGTCCCTCTGAAAGTGGGCATTCAACTGAGCTTGGTAAGTCACCAGATTCTGGGAGTTTACAGGCACAGTTGACTCAGGGTGGTAAGGGAAAAGAGAATGTGCAGCCAAAGGTTGATAAAGGGAAGAAAGTGTGGCTGGACTCACCTTTAGTTCCTTATCAGTCACAGAGAGGAAAAGGTGGTAGGGGGAGAGGTAGGAGATGAAGATACTCACTTGGAACACAAGAGGATTAAAGGCTGATAGTAAATTTAAAGCTATATTAAAGAAAATAAACAAGTATAGTATAGATATAGTTGCTATTTTAGAACCTAGAATAAGAGTCTCTGAGGTAGATGAATTGATTGAGAAGAGGTTTCCTGACTGGAAATCAAAGACTAAGCACAACTCAGCTGGTTTGGGGAAGATCTGGCTTCTCTAGAGAGAGGAAATTCCACTAACTGTTCTTCACTCTTCATAACAGTTTATCCAATTTATGGTTGGGGGATTACAACCTTTCTTTTGCATTGTGGTCTATGCGTCTAATGAGGAAAGGGACAGGCAGATATTATACAGAGAGCTAGCCAGCATTCGTGTCTCTCACATGCCTTGGATGGTGTTGGGAGACTTTAATGATATTCGCCATCCTACTGAGGCATCAAATAACCCAAGGGTGGATTCTAGTATGACCATTTTTCAGGATTGGATTGTTGATTTGGAGATGGAGGAACATCAAGCGAATGGCACATGGTTTACCTGGCTGAACAAGCAAGCTAATAATCCAATAGCTAAGAGATTGGATAGAGTACTCGTTAATTTTGCCTAGCTAGATACTTTCAAAGAGAGTAAAGTTCATATTCAAGCCCCTGGTATGTCTGATCACTGTGATATTTTGGTTGATACAGAGAGTTCCATGAAATCCCTTCCAAAGCCTTTTAAGTTCTTCAAATTTTGGCTTCGTCATCCTCGTTTTGATGAGCTACTGGAAGAGGCTTGGAGGAGTAGAGTGTCTGGTCACCCTCTGATAAGAGTTTGTAAAAAGTTGCAGAATCTAAAAAACTTATTACGGAAGCTTAACAAAGAGGAATACTCTGATATTAGGGAGAGAGTTAAGGAAAAGGAGGCTGCCCTTCATCTGATGCAGCAACAGGCCCTCACTAATCCTACTGAGGGTAATTTTGAGGAAGAGAGGAGATTGAGTCATGAGTATAAAGATTTACTGGATGCAGAGGAAAGTTTCTTAAGACAAAAATCAAGGTTAAAAACAGGGGACATGAATTTAGAGTACTTCTATCGATCAGTCAGGTCAAAGCAAAAGCGGAGCACTAGTAGAATGCTTAAAAGTGAGCAGGGTGAGAAGGTGCAAGAGGTGGATGAGATGACACAGATTGCTGTCCATTTCTATAAGAATATGCTGGGGGTTGCTGATACTGAAGTTGAGGTTCAGTCTGATGATTTCTATGCGAGGGTATTGAAAAGGAAACTTCTGAGGAGCAAACTACTGTGATGGGTTTTCTGCTGCATTCTTCCATTATGCATGGCCACTTATTGGCCCTGAGGTAACCTCTACTATTCGTTATTGCTTTGAATAAGATAGAATCCCTCGATCTGTTAATGCTACTATACTCTCTTTGATCCCAAAAGTCCCTAACCCTGCTGAAATGAAGAACTTTCGGCCTATTTCCTGTTGCAACATCCTGTATAAGTGCATCTCAAAGTTGATTGCTAATAGGTTGAGTCCATTGCTTCCATCCTTGATTAGTAAAAATCAAACAACGTTTGTGAAAGGGAGACTTATTGGAGAAAACATTCTTTTAGCTCATGAGCTGGTTAGTAAATACTCTCAGCATAACATCTCTCCTCGTTGTGCTTTGAAAATTGATCTAATGAAGGCGTTTGATTCAGTAGATTGGAATTTCATTGGTCAAGTTCTGAAGGGTATGGGGCTTCCTGAGAGATTTGTGACCTGGATAAGAATGTGTGTGGAGACCCCTATGTTGAGTGTAAGCTTTAATGGGGGGTTGGTGGGTTATTTTCCATAAAAAAGGTTTCAGACAAGGGGATCCCCTTTCCCCTATCTGTTTTCTATAGCCATTGAGATTTTTGCCTGTTTGATTGACAAATCTGCTTCTGAGGGGTTATTTCCTTACCACCCAATGTGTAAAAAGGTTCAGTTGACACATCTGTCTTTTGCTGATGACCTGTTGGTTTTCTCCAATGCTTCAAATTCTGGGATGTTTGAGTTGCAGAGAATTTTGGGGCAATTCAAGAGGCTTTCAGGGCTTAAATCTAACCCTAGTAAATGTGAGATTTTCTTTGGGGGATTAGATAAAGATGAGAGGAAAGTGAGGGCTGATAGGTTTGGCTACCAACTTGGGGACTTCCTTGTTTGCTATCTAGGAGTCCCACTGATCTCAGGGAAGCTGAGTGTAGCTGCCTGCAGACCTCTCATTGACAAACTCCATGCTCGTGTTAAGAGTTGGCAAGCAAAAACTCTCTCATATGCAAGGAGAATTGAACTGGTGGGAACTGTGTTATATAGTATTACTCAAATTTGGATGTCTGTATTTCTGCTCCCAAAGGCTGTAATCCAGGAAGTTGAGAAGATTTGCAGTAAATTTGTATGGGGAGTTGGCAGTGGTGTGAAGCTGAGGGCAAATGTTGCTTGGCTGAAGCTGGCTTACCCTAAGAAAGAGGGAGGTCTTGGTTTCGGAGACATTTATAGTTGGAATTAGGCATGCATGATTCGACACATATGGTTAATATTATTACAGGAAGGCTCTCTCTGGGTGACTTGGATTACTCACTATAAAATGAAAGGAAGGGATCTCTGGTCCTATTCTTGTACATCAGGCTCATGGAACTAGAGGAAACTCTTGAAGATGAGGAGCAGGGTGGAAGCACTGATTTTAGTTCGTGATGATGTTCTCTTGTTTGACAATATTGCTATGCCTCGGCACTCAATTAGAAAGGTTTGGAAGTTACTTCGTCCTTGTCAGCAACGTGTTCCATGGTGGCAAATCCTGTGGAAGGGTGTGGCCATTCCTAGAAACAGAGTTATTACATGGATGGTAGTCAGGGGGAGCATTAACCCAAAAAGGAAGATGTTGAAATGGGGGTTCTCGGGTGATTTATCATGTTGTCTTTGTAAATCGGGGATAGAAGATAGGGATCATCTGTATGTCCATTGTTCGTACTCGAGGCAGTTGTTTGTTGCACTTTTTTGCATATATCTACAGCTTCCTAGGGTGCAAGATTGGGAAGAGTTGATGGCTTTCTTGATTAAGAAGCTTGGTGGTTCGACGGAAGCTGCTGAATCTGGGCGTGCTATCTGGCAGGCGTGGGTGAGCTACATATGGAGGGAGCACTGCAAGCGGTTGTATGTAGGGGAAGCAAAGGAATTCCAGGTCTTGTTGAAAACCATTTAGGGAGAGATTGAGTGTGTGATAGGTTTGCAGAGGGTTTCCTTGTTTTGGTTAGTCAACCTGCCTTAGAGACTCGGTTTTGATAGGTTTCTTTGCTTCTTTTGTTCGCATTTTGTTGGTTGATTCAGCCTAGTTAGCAGGGCAGTTGCTAACAACCCTTTTTTGATGAATGAAGATCCCAACGATTCATAGAAAAAAAAAATATATTTTCCCATAGAGTATGTGAAGATGTAGATTAGACATGTAATAAATCAACAGGTCCCGATAAATCGAGTTGTTGGGGAAAAGATTATTATGAATTTTATACCATTCATTAGAAATATTTGTTGGTTGTTGTGTTATACTCTAATTTCCATAATTTTACCAAGATCAATTACATGCTTGCAAAGGTAGTTTCAAATATGTATTAGATTTGAAGGGTCTCACATCTCCTATAAAATTAATTTTATATTTTCATTTGATAATTCTTTTGTGGAAGTAAATTATATGAAAAATTGGATGGCATTTTTTTAAGACAAGGAACATCTGAGGTGAGAGAAAGTTGAAATTTTATTAATAAAAATAGAAAATTGCATACAAGGCAACATAAAATTTTGAAATCCCTTTACTAATTTCTTTAGATTTTTTCCCCACTATAACTTTAAACATTTGTCACTATAAATGCCTACCCTCCAACTTCTCATCACTCATTCCAAGTTCCCGATATCTCTCAAACCACAATAAACTATAAACCCTCTCAAAGACCCTCCACAAAAATGGCCCTCTCCAAGCTTGTAATGGCTACCATTCTCCTCTCCCTTCTCTTCCTTCAGTTCGCTCACGCTGCTAATTACTCCACTCAATCAATCGGTACGTAAATTGAAATTCACGACATTGGATCACATAATTGCAAAAAAAAAAAAAAACTTTTTCTTGTATTTGAAATTTTAGCATAACAATTCATGTTAAATTTGAATTATATTCCTAAGTAGGATATTTATCCGTATGATGGTTTTGATCAGATTGTGGAGAAGCTTGCAAAGTTCGGTGCCAGTTATCGAGCAGGCCGAACCTATGCCACAGGGCTTGCGGGACATGTTGCCGCCGATGCAGCTGCGTCCCTACCGGAACCGCCGGCAACTACGACCAGTGCCCTTGCTATGCCACCTTGACCACCCATGGCGGCCGTCACAAGTGCCCCTAATTGTAATTAATTAATTCACGATTGCGTTTAAACTCTTTTAAGTAGTTTGAACGTGCGATAATTAATAATATTGATGATGTATGTTTGTTTTCCATTTGGTAAATGTAAAATGGATGTAGTACTGATCAATAAAAAAGCTTGCAGTAGCTGCTGATCTATATCTCTATTTCAGCAGGGGTTTTTATGTACATACTCCTAGTCCTTCCTACCATCCAAAAGCCTAATTAAGTGATCACGACTGACGAGTCTACCATGGGCTTTCATGATCCATGCAAATATGCAAACCATATGTCTCCCCAAATTTACGTGAGACAAATTATCACTTTTTATAATTAGTATAGGTATAAAATGGTTTCTCATAGAGAATACAAATGTTGCAAATTAGAGACATTATGTGCCACCTTAAATTTGTCCTAGTGGTCTTTTATATATAGATGAGTCTAACTCGTTTTGTTGATTTTGTGTACAACTAACGAACTCCCTGTCAAGTATTTAGCGAAATGGATGAAATTTGGGTTCACCTAAAATTTTTATTAATTGGCCTATTAGCTCAGTTGGTTAGATCGTTGTGGTAATAACGCAAAGGTCATAAGTTCGAAACTTGTATGGGCCTAATTATTTTTTTCAGTTCATATAGGTTGGGCCAAAATCATTTTTTTTTTACTTCATATAGGTATAAGATGGCCAAAATTATCTTCTTTTTTTTTTTTACTTCATGGAAGGGAAAACTTTCAACAGAGATGGCCTCCATGCCAAGATCAATGCTTGGTTCAACATTGTTGGACAAGCTCACAGTAATTTGCATAAAACAAGTACTCTGTTCAAGGGGAAGAAGCAGGATGGTCTGGTTAGATGGAAGCCACCTGACGAGGGATGGATTCAACTTCAATCTGACGGGTCTGTTCTCCATCCTGGAAATGAAGCTGCTGCTGGAGGCTTGTTTCGTGACCATCTGGGAAGGTGCCTCGGTGCCTACGTCTGCAACTTTGGCTCCTGTTCCATCACGGCAGCGGAGCTAAGGGGAGCATTGGAAGGACTCAAAATAGCTTGGAAAGAAGGGGTTCGGAAGATTCAACTAAATGTTGATTCAACAACGGCTGTTACTATCATCAACAACAGGTTTGAAGATGATCACCGGCACGGCAACATTGCCAAACAATTCAACCACATTTTGAATCGGCAATGGGATGTTCGTATTTCCCATGTGTATAGGGAGGCCAATTTTGCAGCCGATTACTTGGCGTGCAAGGCTCATGATTATGATTTTGGTACACATCTCTTCAATGTGAACGACGTGAATCTTGCTCAATGGACCCGTCATGATGTAATGGGAGTTTCCCACGAACGATCTATTCTAATGTAACTTAGGCGCAATGCGTCTATCCTTTTACAAAAAAAAAAGATGGTCTTTTTTATAAATGAGTCGAACTTTTTTTTTAGATTTTGTGTACAACTAACTAACTCCCTATCAAGTATTTAGCGAAATGTATGAAATTTGGATTCATCTTTTTTTTTTTTTTTGTCAATTGGCCTATTAGCTCAGTTGGTTAGAGCGTTGTGCTAATAACGCGAAGGTCACAGGTTCGAGACCTGTATGGGCCATATTATATAATTTTTTTTTATAGTTTATATAGGTATAAGATGGTTTCTCATAAACAATGGGCCAACTTATCTTTTTTTAGTTCATATAGGTATAAGATGGTCTTTTGTATAAATGAGTCGAACTCGTTTTGTAGATTTTGTGTACAACTAATTAACTATCTATCAAGTATTTAGCGAAATATATGAAATTTGGATTCACCTAATTTTTTATCAATTGGCCTATTAGCTCAGTTGGTTAGAGCGTTGTGCTAATAACGCGAAGGTCACAGGTTCGAGACCTGTATGGGCCAAATTATATTTTTTTATAGTTTATATAGGTATAAGATGGTTTCTCATAAACAATTAGCACGCGAAGTTCACAGGTTCGAGACCTGTATGGGCCAAATTGTTTTTTTTTATATTTTATATAGGTATAAAATGGTTTCTCATCCACAATATAAACATCACAAATTAGAGACGTCAATGACCACATTAAATTTGTCCCGGTGGTCTTTTACATACATGTACTGAGCTTGTTGGTATAAGATGGTTTCTCATAAACAATTAGCACGCGAAGTTCACAGGTTCGAGACCTGTATGGGCCAAATTATTTTTTTTATAGTTTATATAGGTATAAAATGGTTTCTCATCCACAATATAAACATCACAAATTAGAGACGTCAATGACCACATTAAATTTGTCCCGGTGGTCTTTTACATACATGTAGTGAGCTTGTTTTGTTACTTGTTCCACAAAAATTATCCTTTTTTTTTAAGATCCGAACTTTAGTTGAAGATGACCATGGAAACCTGTATGTGCCAAATTATCATTTTTTCGAGTTCATATAGGCATAAGGCATAAAATGATTTCTCATGCACAATGTGAACACCTCAAATTAGATACCTCATGGACACATTAATCTTGTCCTATGAGTGTTTTACATACATGAACAAAACACATTTTGCTGATTTCGTGTTCACCTAACTCAAAATCAAATGTTAAATTAGTGAAATGGATGAGTTCACCTTAGTTCTCTATGGATTTTCCTATTAACTCGGTTCAAGATTTGTATGTGCTACATATCACTTTTTTAATTTCAAGTTCATCTCTAAATTTTATTTTTTAGTTCATAATTTTTTTTATGGATAATGAGATAATTTTACAACTAACCCAAAAAAGAAAGGAGTTCATCTCTAAAATCATAAATAAGTTCGGACTTTGCACGGTGACATGCATGTCACCGTAACTTGCACTTTTAGGTCGACCTCATATAGGATTAAGTCGACCTAATCTGCACCTTTAGGTCGACCTTATATAGTATTAGGTCGACCTAATATGTCGTTTCAGTTTTGTGAGGTTCAACGACGCGGTTGACCTCTTATAGCAAATGGTCGACCTCTTTGGGTACCGAACAGAATGAAAGGTCGACCCAAATACCTCATAGGCCGACCATTTTGATTAACTGAGGTTAACCGAAGTACGAGGTCGACCGCGTGCACACCGTATCCGTATTGGATAAGGATTCCAACACCAAAAAGGTAACCCTAACTTATCTACCACTTAATTCGACCCATTCTCGTCCTAAATATCTATAAATACGAATATATGTCACCTTTACTGCCACTGAAACTCTTAATTAGGTTTTTTTACGGTTAGAGCTTTTGTGAAGAAGATCATTTGCAGTTGTTGCTGTACGTGATTCAAGAGGTTGACCACGTGGAAGTTATGAGTCCTTGTTATCATTATTTATGAATGATTTTTTTGGTTTGAAACATAATTTGTACGAGCAAAAGAATCACCGACATCGACATACATAAGCAAAAAAGACGCAGGGCATAGGTTGATTTTTTTGTATTCGGTCGACCTCGTACCGGATTAGGTCAAATGATGATGGATAAATGGATACAACACTTCTCTTCTTCTGGTCGACATCTTTCTGTAAATGGTCGACCATTTTGTTAATGACCGCCATCAAGTGGTCGACCTATATACCTTTACGGACGACCATTTTGCCATTTTGCTTCTGACGCTTATGAAAAGGGAGACCAATGTTTTATTGTGGTCGACCAACAATGTCAACTTAAACTACAAACGGTTGACCACTACATTTTAAAAGTCGAGCGCGATAAGTCATAGGGGGCTCACATTAGTGTATTCGGGAACCTCACAAAACCGAAACGGCATATTAGATCGACCTAATCCTATATAAGGTCGACCTAAAAATGCAGATTAGATCGACCTAATCCTATATGAAATCTACCTAAAAGTACAAGTTAAGTGACATGCATGTCACCATATGCATACCCTAATATTTCCAATTCAAGTTCATTTATGTCTCTGCCAGTGGCAAGTGACGGTTTGCAGACATTAACCAAATTAGTTTTGCCAAATTTGCAGTCATTTAACTTGTAAAAAGTTTACGCGTTCATCTAACACACTGGAAATCTATCAAAAACAACAAATCCCAAAGCCCATGAATTAGGGCTGGCTATTTGGTCCGGACTGTTTGGTTTTACCCAAAATTGAACCATATAACCCGGACCGGGACCAGATTGGGACCACATAGCAAACAATACAATCTCATATTCGGGCTTAGATTTGAGATAAAAAAAATAGTTTGGGACCGGATCGAAAATCGGGAAAGACCAGATAAGAGACCCCAACTCCACTCAAATGCCCACAAGTTCAATCTAAAATCAAGACCAAATTGGGACCAGACCGGATCAAGACCAGACTGTATCCAATCCAATCTTTGGTCCTTATATTCCCGAAAAGACCGGACTGGAACGGATCAATTCGGGTCAATTTAACCGGACCGGACCGTATAGCCACCCCTACCATGAATACCTTTCGAACCTATTTAACTATGCGGTCTCGGTATTTTTAAGAGGTACTATAAAAGTAAAATAGTAAATAAATAAATATTTAATTCATAGAGTACACGATTTTATTATTTTTACAACGAGCAAAAGTTTGTATGTTGTGATAGATTTATGAAATACATCAATCGCTTATTTTGTAAATAAAATATTTTTCAATCCATATAATGCAACAATCGTTGAGAAAATGCTATTAATATGATTTCGAATATAATTTATTATCAAGTTCATAATAAAAAAAATTCCATTTAAGTGCATGCAATTACAACAAATTTGTCAATTAAAAAAATTAGATGCATTTCGGAGATCCTAATTTCAAATTTTTATAATGACCAAACATAAATATTTCACCAAAATCTTAAGCGAAGATGTGTCGCTTCATATACTTCCCTTAACATAGGTCCATCCCTGATAAAAGCAGCAAAGACGAGCTCATAGCCCCATGTAGCCCTACACTAAAAATATTCCACAAAAATTATTCAAACATTAGTCGAAGATGGACATTTTGTTAAATAATGGTGATATAAGGTTGTTTTCATTATAAACTACTACTTGTAGGATTCAAATTTAAAATCTCCAAATTCAAAACGAATACCAATAATATCAGTGTATTACTAGACCGAACTCTTATTCGCAATGATTATCAATGATTAGAAGTCGGCTGGTGCATCAAAAAGATGCCTCCAGCGAATCTCTAATCGAGTATACAATTGTTGGCAGTGGGTCATATTAGGGTCCGGATAGTATAACAACACTTAAAGTGTTGTTATACTAACAACCAAGGTTTTAAAAGGCGCTAGGCGTAAGGCAGGCGCTCAGCTCCCGACTTGCGCCTTGCCTGATTAGGCGTAGCCTAGGCGTGCCTAGGCGTTCAGAGCATAAATGAAAAAAGTTCTCAAATATTTCCTGTTTTCTGGAATAATTCATATAATCCTAGTGCATATAAAATTAGCAATGCCTAGTTCTTAACAGTAAACACTTAACATAACAAATAACAAGCAAATAGTGACCACTTCCTAGAATCACAAGTTCATAAAACGTCGAAATACTAAACAATAGTCAATAAGTTCATAGGAAAATGTTCATTCTTCATCATCCAAGTAGGTCCGTCCAGCCACCACTTCATCTTCATCATCCTCAAAAGCAATCTCCTCACCATCCTCCTCCTCTTCCTCCTCTTCAGACTCTAATTATTCATCATGGAGCTCTCTCACTCGTGCACTCCTGCGAAGCTCACTCTGTTCATCCGCCATTGCATCTGTAACAGTACTCGAGGGTGCAATATATGATTCCTCATCCTCATCTATGAATACATACATAGCATGGTCATCCCCTTCCCGTGTTTCTGATTTTCTAGTGCAAGAGGCAATTTTCTGATTTTCTAGGACAAAACGAAGAGTATTGGGTTTAACCGCTTAAGCTCGCACAGGAACGCCCAGGCACGCCTTCTCTCCACTAGGCGCAAACTAAGCGCTATTCCTACCTACTAAGCGCTACCAGCGCCTTTTATAACGCCTATGGCCAAGTCAAGGCGATCCTCCACCGCCTAGCGCCTAAT